TACATGTATTTATTCAGTAGAAAGATGTTTCTCTTCATGAACATGACTAAGATGCAAGGAAAAAAACACAAGTGAGGAAAACGGATGTGATAAAGGGAATTGGCATGTACCCACGGACAGCCTTGAACAGATTTTTCGACCAAAACAGGGAAACATGCAATAAACACAACATTGACAGATCATAACCTTTTGAAGTTGTTGTGGCTCATTTAAACTTCAAGCTGACACGGAGCTACAGCATTCATTTGTAGTCGTGTTTCCGTCCACCTGATGAATGTTAATTCAATATATTCACTCTAATTTTAGTTTCAGTAACCATCAACTCAATGGTGGTTCTCAAAGAGGAGGTGGCAGTGCCCCATAATATTAATGCTGTACCCTCATCTTGCCCCCCAACTGTCGCAAATATTTTCATTTGTTTTTGACACCCAGAAAGGAGAAATTGTAATTATTCTTGAGCACTATTGGCATTCTTGTGTTCATTGTTATTTGTGTATCATTTGTATATTTGGTACTTCTAAAATCACATGTGGCCCCAGCACTTCTTCCCATTTTCTGCAGCTATATGCAATATTTTTCAAACCATTCGAGATCATAGATTGACAAAATAGATGTACCATATTTGGGAAAATTTAAAAAAAAAAGATAGTTGGCAAGGAAAAAAATTATTCTGTAAAATCTCCATCTCCTTTCAAATTTAAAATTACAATTGTATCCATTAAAAAACATTAAAAATATTGATTATAGTTGCTTAAACATGTCTTTAAATTTCAGTTGGGTCCCCTGTGTTTGGCAGTATGACAGAGAGTGCACAGTAGAAGGTTGACAAACCACTTAAATGTAAAGAAACCTAAATCAATTAGTGCATGTGATGTTGAGATAAATACAAATGCTTCAACAGTATGGTGGGCAGATGTCTAGGATTAGCAGGCTGGAGTAGTCACTAAATTCCTGCTCAGGGAATTCAGCTTACAATAATCAAAGCAAATGTAATTAACCACAGACTTCAAATCTGGGCCCTCGCCGTTCTACTGCTCTTCTGTCCGATCTTCTATCAATACTACGCCACCTAGCCAGCTTTAATGACTTACCTTGTCTCCACTCAGTCACAATGCCAGGAGGTCTTTGCTTGCTGATCTATGTAGGACAAGCAGTGGGCTGTCTGATGCAATAAATGAACACGATGAATGTGGGGGATATGTTCATTTGAAAGCTCTTGTCACTGAGGGTTTGTCGTCCGGCTGCACAAAGGGTGGAGCCTTCCTGCCTGATTTACTTTAGATTCAAACCATGGCTAAATTGGAAATCGTGAATCACTCTGACACCATTGGCGCAAGATGGATTACACCAGTTAAAGGCTGCCTTTTCTTTAATTTGGTTCTTTTTAAAGAAATCATACAAAAATAATTTTCTCCGACAGACGGCTGACCCGGGCAGTCGACGAAAGGAATAGCAAAGGGAGGCCAGCACTGAGGCACTACAAAGCTGTTTTTTATCAGCGCAGCACTATCCCAGCGACATCCAAAAGCTCTCAGCAGCTCAAGGAGCCTGGCTGAATATTTGATCAACTGTCTCAGGTTTAACAAGCCTTGCCAAACTACACCTGCCTGGAGGAAAACGATATGCCTTTGAGCAGGGTAATGCCTTCCCCCCCACAAGATGTTAAGGAAATAAGCGTTTGATGTTCACAATACCCAATCTGCACTAATCTCCAATCTTGGGCACTGGGATTCTCAGCAAGGATCAAGATTTGCATTACTGAACAATAGCTCTCTGAATGCAAATGATGCCTTCCAATATAATCAAGCCATAAATTACAAAACAAAACACTCAACCGCACTGTAGACTAAATGGAGCTTTTACAGATTGAATATAAATAAAAATACTGTACGACTGTCCTTCATGCTAAGTGGGGTACAACCGATATTTTGTATTTGGAAACTCTCCCACATATAAAGTCATGGATAACTCACTTGTACAAAGGTGGGAATTTGCGTGTTTATGCTCTTTGTATCTTTCTGTCTTTCAGTCTGAGCTTGAATGTGAGTGGGTGTGTCAGTGTGTATTCCTCCCCCCCCCCCCCCCCCCCAAAATCATCATTGCTGGCTGCAGCTCATTGCCCAGCAGTAATATCAGGCCTTGCAGACACCTGGGACCAGTGGTGTGGGCCCTCAGAGGAGGCAACCGCCTGGCAACTGGCCCTGATTACTTTCTCCACTCTCCGGAACTCAACTCTGTATATGCCATTAACCAGCTGCACACGGTGTGAACCCAACTTTAACCCTGTACACAAAGGGTTGTTTACAATCGCACACATACACACAAGGCAGAACTTCACAGCTTAACCAACAGCCCTACTGAAGGCACAACCATCTGCAGACCAACATCTTCCATAATCTCCCCGGTGAGAGTTGCACGGCGGGATACCATGAAGCGAGGGGGACATCTAGTGGGCATGTTATAGAACAATCAGACATGAGCTGTTACCTGTAAACAGTCTCTGTAATGTATTATTATTTTGGTGATATAATTCCTCGCCTGAGCTTCACACACCCATAATCGGGTATCTAATTATTTTTGCGCTTACTTTACACTTTACATTATTTTTCCCTTTGTGTTGCTGTGTGTGAAGGGCATGGTGGTGATTGTTATCCTCACTGTCATGGCCACTACATATCATACTGTAGTACTCCCTTTTCTTACTTCAATTTCCATCATTAAGTATTCTTTACATACAGTTTAGACCAATTATATTTAATACATGTCTTATTTCAACACCCTGTTTAATTTGTAATTGTGGGGGATTTACTGTTAAATATAGTAGCCGTCGTCAGCAATTATTGTTTGGTCTGTTTCATGTTTTATTTTGAAAGTTACCCTTATGTGTCATGTTTTGTTTTACTTCCTGCTTTTGTCTTTTTCCCGCCTATACCTTCTACACCTGTGTTTCATTAACTGATTAGTCTCTTGTGTATTTAGTATGTGTTTCCCTGTTTCAGTGTCAGGTTGTCTGCTTCAGTTGCTTGTTGCTACATTTCATCCTTTCTCCTGTTAAGTTGTTATGTGTGTTTGGTAATCCCTGTTTGTGTTGGATACTTTTATTACCTGCCTGCTTTTGGACTCAAGCTGATGTCATTTTTGTCATTAAATCGTTATTCTCCCTGTTGCCTCCTCATCTCTTCATCTGCGTTCGGGTCTAAACCTGCTAATCCCGGACCTGTGATAGTATCATTAAGGATCCGTGGACGTTTAGTTGGTTTGAGTATTAAAGGGTCAGTGAAAACAAAAATGTTAAAGTAAAGGCCTGTCCTAACATGCATTTTAGTTAAAAAGCAAGGACTGCGAGCAACGCTCACATGACCTTATGATATTACCCCTCCAATAAAATTATAGTATGCTGAAGCAAAACTAAGTGCAAGATGGTTACGTTTGGCAATTATTTTCCTTGACAAAAGAACGAGCTTAGAGGTGCTTTACCGCCACCAACTGGACTGAGTGTGGAACAAGAGATTGTGACACAGTGCTGTCCTGGTGTACCACAAAATAAGATTAGTTGGTTTTCTATGACATGAACATGGCTCTCTTTTAACCTGGCTAGATCGTCATGACCGCTTTGGATTGAACTCACCCATAAAAAGCATACCAGGACCTTGGTGCCATAATTGCAAGAGCTTCTCTTTGGAGGGAGAGAGTTTTTAGAGACTGAATGGATCCATTGACTTTTCCTGACAAAATTCTCCATGAGCGATAGAAAAATTGAAGGGAAAATGTTGTAAATGCAGAGTTTTTCAGCCGTACGGTGGTCATGTCATGAAGCCATGCAGTTACAGCAGCGCATATAGCCATAGGAACTTGCATGCATTCAGCTGATGATGTGGAAAATCTGAGCAAGAATACTGAGCAATTCTTGCTCACACTGAAATACTGACTGCAGTTTGTGGTGTTTTCTGGTCATTTGACCTCGCCGGCTTTAAAAGACGCCTTCTATAATATCGCTGACGTACATTGATCGCTATATTATTAATCAGTGTGATGTTCTACCAGCATTCCTCTCTTGCCTTACAGTATTTGCAGCCATAGAGACAAATGGTGCACCAAATGCTCCCTTTTAAGGGAATGCACTCAGAGCGTGATGAAGAAGGCCTGGGTTAACAAAGCACGGTGTTACCTGATCTGGGTCTTTAGTCTGTGTTGAGCCAGCTAAGGGAAAGACAGCCTGGCTCTGTTGAACTTGCGTCATGGTACACGGGTACTGTTGCTTTGGTCTGAATGTGTGACATAACCATTCATTTGAATATAACAGATCATAATAAAAAGAACTGGGAAATAAAAGTCCTACTAAACAAATAAATGTGGAATTATGAAACAAAAGTTCCCTGACAAAGGCTCATTTACATATTTATTGCCTTATTATATATTTCAGGATTTATTTTATAGCCATATTTATATATTCTCCAGTTATACTTTATGTATGTATTTATTGATTTAATATATATATATATATATATATATATATATATATATATATATATATATCCCAAAATAACAATAAATAAAATCAATATTACATATTTCTTTCTCTTTTCATTAAAGGGATAAAATTAGATTTTTTAATTTGGTCTATATGTATTGTCTAAATGTGCTCTATGAATAAATTATCTTGATTTTGACTTTGTTTTAGGTGCTGCATTAATAATGCCTCTTATCACAGCAAATGAAGAGTGAATTTCATTTAATTCCATGGTTAAGTAAAGTTGGACCATGCGTTTATTGCCAATATATTATCGCCTAAAGGGACAACAGCAACAACAAAGGCGATGTCAAATTGCCGAGACACAGACACTCAAAGAATAGAGTGGTGTTGTAGCCAAGAGCGTGAATGACTGACGGCCAAAAGAAAAAAGAAACACCCTATCTAATCTTTATGCAAATATGTCACGGCTCACCATGCCTCCGTCAGCAGGAGGAAAAGGCATGAAATCATTTTCTGAGAGGGCGGTACTATGAAGTCAAAACCGCGTCAAAGTTACTGTACTTGCGGGAGTTGTGAGTGACTTCTGCGGACAAACGGAACACGAAGAGAAAAGACACGAGCAGTGGAGGTAAGTTGTCGGTTCGCTTCTGAGATTTTGTTGACGAGGAATGGAGTTTACCTAACATGCCTGTCGGTTAGCAGAGGAAATGCCCCGTCGGAAGCCTCAGTCAGGTAGATGTCCTCTGAAGTAGCCGGGGACGATTGTTACGTGTTTATGTTACAAGTGACATAACGTCCATGCAGTGAAGCGGTGTTTCTCCTGGTATGACCAGCTGACTTCATTTAACAGGCTGAGAGGGACGCTGAGTGGGCTTTACAGGATACTATGGGCCTAACGTCAGGCTACACAAGGAGCACGGGCTTCTTACACCTGATACTGTGTGGTGGGCGAGTCCTTTCCATTTGACTTTAACGCCTCATTTTCAAATGTGACAATTACATTGTGTACCTTTTATAAGATACACTAAAATATGATATATAGAATAGAAATTGTTGGTGTGTGTATAGATATGTAAATACTTTGTACTTAAAATAAAGGCAAATAAAGTTTGAACTGATGAAAAGTTTAATGATAGGTTAATTTGCCAATTATTTTCTTGATGAATCAATTCATCGTTTGGTCTGTAAAGCATCAGAAAAATTGTGCATCACGGTATCCGTGAGCCCAAGTTTGCTGCAACAAATGGGTCGTTTTGTCCACAAATGGGGGATTGCCTATTTCACCCTGAGGCTGTGTAACCCGGAAATATTCACTTTACTGTCATTTTAGGACAACAAACGAAGCTAATTCTCACATTTGGTTTGATTGATTTTTGTTCAGTCTAGTGGAGATGTCAGAGTTTCCAAAGACATGCCAGGTGGAATTTGGGGGAAATGATACAAAAGTGAAAGAAAAAGGGGAAACTAAAGGTTAAATTATGTCAAATAAACATGTATTCCTTGTATGAATATCCTTTTCCTTCAGTCAGTTGATGAATATCACCCCGAAGCCGTGTAACACGTCTTCTATGCTGCTGAAAAGAGGCCCAGATGCTCCAGGATGGATCAGGCACTTTCCAGCCAGAGCCCAGTGTTGGACTTGCTTGAACCAGAAAGCGAGGAGCTCCAGCTCAGAGTGGACTTCTTCAGGAAACTGGGTTACTCCTCAGTAGAGGTGAAGGCTGCTCTGAGGAAGCTGGGCCTGAGCACAGACACAAACTCGGTGCTGGGAGAGCTGGTTCTGAGCAGGACCGGCCCGGCACCTTGCATGTCCGGTTCTGACGGTGATGAGATAAGCACGGGCCAAATGGACCCACTGCTGCCTCCTAGTTGGGCTCTTGGACCCTGCAGAATCAATCTACAACTCGGGGACCGGAAGAACACGGACACAGAATTGAGGCCCATTGTTATTGACGGCAGCAATGTTGCAATGAGGTACTTTTGATAAACTTTTTCTCTCTCTTTTAAGGGATCATAGAATATTTAGTTAAATCATAATTGACATTTTCAAAGCTATGTTTTACTTCTTTGAACTACGGCAACATGTGTTGTCTACCTGAGGACAACGTATCACACTGCGATCACTCATTGCCATGGCGTCCTTAAACTCTGACCCTGAAATATGCATCGTTGTGTTGCTTTAAAAAGAGGTGTTCCCCACCCTGCCTGTGCATGTTTCTGTAAAGCTGCTGCTGCAATATGCAAATACCTAGGCACACACCTCAAAATCTCCACCACTCAATAGATATGAAGTGCTATACAGGACGTTCACAGGGAGTAATAGCCCGAGACATTCAAAGGCGTGGGGTGTTTACACAGATCAACTGAAGTTGTACTTTTCCCTTTCATGTTCATTCATAGGCAAATTATTTGTACGCATCTTCTTTTTACAGCCATGGCAACAAGGAAGTGTTCTCATGTCGTGGCATCCAGCTTGCAGTGAACTTCTTTCTGGACAGAGGTCATGATACTATTACCGTGTTTGTTCCCTCTTGGCGCAAAGAGCAGCCCAGATCGGATGGCCCCATTACAGGTGAGGATACAAGAAGTGTACGACCAAGCAGACAGATGGTTCTCATCAAGCAGAGTAGTGTCACTTTAGCCTCACAAAACACCTTTCACTCAAAGCAGAAACGATCTCATTGGATAAACCATAACCAAGCAGAGGCTAACCTATTTTTCATTCTTGACCCTTGCAGTCATGAAATTCGAGTGGCAAGCTGGTCAGCAGGGCTAACTAGCTGGGGTTTTTTATTAATAGCCACAGCACAGGCATTCACACTTTTAGCATACAGGAGATAGTAGTAGTACACTGTAAACATGATATTATGGTTGATTAGTCATCTGTAAATCGTGTTAAGCACATTTCCCAAAATGTTGAACTCCAGGAATCAGTGGTTCTTTTGCTTTGTCCTTGAGGACACTGTTTCCTTTTGAGCTTTTCTTTTCTTTTTTTTTAAAGAAATGTGATTATGACCAAATCTCCTCTGAAACTGTAGGTGTACATATTCCTGTATCCGAGATTCAGTCCCACAATAACCATGAGATACTGTTTCAATGTTGTCTGAGGCAGAACTACTGAACTTGTGCCAAAGCTATGAGGCAACACAGTTAAGATTGTGAAACAGAGGTTTACCCAATTGACTGCTAAGTTATGTTATCAGACGAAACCAAGACAACAGCTAGTGTGGTCATACACTACGAACAATTTGCTCTAATAGTTTCCGTGTGGGTACAGTGTTATAATCTCTAGCAGTAGAACACAAAAGAGCTCTACATTTCAGACAGCTGAGTCCCGAACATTTTTGGGTGTATCTGACAAAGCCAGATTGATATCATATCTACACCATCGATTTTATTCAGTCCTAATGCATCATGGTTTCAAGCTATTCATACTTATCTAACCTCATCTCCAACAGCAACTATATAATGAAGGGTGGACCATCCTTTTAAAACTGGATGCATCCTCTCATCTAATCTATTTTAAATTTGTGAACAAGGAAGTAAAAGTTGGCTCGCAGTCATTCCTGGGGAAAGCCCCATCAGGAAGTGCAGCTTTCTTCTGCTTGTAGAGTATAGTTTACTGCTGTCAGTCATCTACAGCAAGAGGTTAAGTGAAGACTGAGAGGCACTTTAGTTAGAAAAGGGCCTTCAAGTGTTTGTGTGTATTGTCTGTCAGGCAGTAGCTCAGCCATTCACATGCCTAGCTTTCATGTAACCTGGCCTCTTGTTGATTCATACCAGTTTCATGTTTCATTTCACTTCTTACATGTGTAATAAGAACCTACAGTGTGTGTGTTATGTTTTCAATCAGTCATACTGCAGTTAGAGTGATATATTATGTGAATATTAGATAGTTCGTACAGGTGATACCTTGTATGTCTTTTGTCTGTGATTGATTGCCGGGGCTTTTGATATATCACTTTATATATATACACAGCTTTTAACAAAAAGGACAATACAATTAACTCCTCGTCACTATTTCTCCACAGCCATCTGACTCATGACTGTTTGAACCTTTCAGATCAACACATCCTGATGGAGCTTGAAAAACGGAAAACAGTGGTCTTCACTCCATCTCGCCGGGTCGGTGGTAAGCGAGTGGTTTGCTATGATGATCGCTTCATTGTCAAGCTGGCGTATGAGTCCGATGGAGTGATTGTATCCAATGACACCTACCGTGACCTCCAAGGAGAGAGACCTGAGTGGAAGAAATGCATCGAGGAGAGGCTCCTCATGTTCTCCTTTGTGAATGACAAGTAAGCAATTAGCCCATTTTTTCTTCCTGAGCATGTGAGGTTCCACATTTTTCTTCCATGAATGCTATTTAAATTTGGTTCCAGAGGGCATATTGCATCTTAAGGGTGTAATCAGGGAAACAATATTATGTAGCACCCAGCTGATATGTCACAAGTATTTATCTTTTTTTCCAGGTTCATGCCCCCAGATGACCCTCTGGGTCGCCATGGCCCCAGTCTTGACAACCTCCTTCGGAAGAAGCCGCTGCCTACAGAGCAAAAGAGACAGCTCTGTCCTTATGGTAAAGTGTGATTAGCATATAGCTCTATTCCTTCAGAGGTTTTGGACAAGGAAGTAAACTGGTTCCCAAATGAGATGACCTGTAACTTATGTGTATGTGTGTGTCCGTTTTTGTTTTCCTCAGACAAAAAGTGCACTTACGGTATCAAATGTAAGTTCTACCACCCAGAGCGGTCAAACCAGTCCTACCTGTCCTTGGCTGATGAATTGAGAGAGAAAGCCCAGATTTCCACTGTAAAAGAACAGAGGAATGCCAGATTATCACCCAGGCAGCTTCAGTCGGATCCTGGACCTGCTCACAATGCATTTTCCCATCCTAAAGACTCTAAAACAGAGCACATAAGAGACCAGCAAAGTTACTCACATCCCGGTCAGGTTCGTGAAAATACACTGTACTGGGAGGATCCTAGAAAAAGTCAAGATCATACACCCTGTCCTGTAACAGGAAGCCAGTGTCATAAAGAGTGGCCTGGGATGCACTCCATGCCAAATCATTACTATGCCAACCTCTCTCACGAGTACCTGGATTCTGGCCTTGGCTCTTATGAGAGTCAGTACTCTGACTATTCGCATTGCCTCAGCAACTCCCACAGGGTCAGGCCTCAGCAGCAAAGTGCCCTCCCTGGGCCCAGACATGCCCCTGTGCATTTAGAGAAAAATAACACCAGCCAGTCTTGCAGGTGCTGTTCCCACATAGTACCAGCTCACCAGCAACATCATGGAGACCAGGACTCCAAGGGACAACCCAAATACGACACCTACCCTTCTCACATGTTCCCGGCCGGTGTGCCGCACCAAAACAGCCTCCCCAGCCATCTCCATTACAATGGAGCCCCACATCATCAGCAACATTACTGGTCCGATCCCTTTCAGGGGCCGCCCCAAGCCAGGACATCGAGTGTTCTGCCCTCTTCGGTCCATTCATCGAACCCTCACAACTGCTCTTACAAAGGCCAAGAGTACCACTCCTGGGGCCAACAACAGTCGTCCTCTGCTGCGTACGACCCACAAAGGTTGGAACTCCGCAAGAAGCTGCAAGCCATCTTCAACCCGCAGCAGGTGGATACAGTCATGGAAATGTTTCCACATGTGATGAATGCAGAGAAACTGGCTGCAGAGATCCTTAACCTGAAGGCTCAGAGAGGGATATTCTGATAATTCCTCTGATTATTTTCTTCTCTGGCATCATCCTCCGTCAGAACTAACATGATACTCGTGTTGACTCTCTATCATAGCAAATGAGGAAGCTCCTGAGAGGCTTTGAAAGTGTCTATAGTTGAATGATTTGAAATCTAATTGAAAAGATGTGCCGTTACAGAAGTGCAATTTGCCTTTCTGCATTCTGTTAAGTGCATTTGAATGACATTGTACTCAAATGTGACCCTATTATCCAATGTTTTGGATGTAAAGTGCCTCTTGACCAAAAAATATTTAGGACTGAGTTTCTAGAGTTTTGACTTTTGATGCATATTGTGTCAAATGTGATACATTTTTATCTTTTTTCCAAAAATACGTTCTCGTGCAATAAGGAAAGGCTGTATAAAGTATTAGATTTTCTTTTAATTTCACTATTGTTCTCCAGAACAGCTTGTTGTTCAATATTATCTCTGTGAGGTGTAGCTACACTATATGACAATATGCTGTGGCCGGCCAATGCATTCAGGCTCCTACATTGTATTTATAATGAAACCTAACCTAACAAGGAAATTGAGAAGAAGACTTAGAAACTAGCAAAAGGAATTTGCTGGTGTGTTACCGCACTTTCCTGTAATTAGCATCAGTTTCATGAAACATTCTCAGAACAAGTGTTGCTGTAATACTACACGTGTATTTGGATCACTGTGCCATTGAAAAATGACAATAAAAATGTGGAGTTTAATTCTCATAAACATGCAGATTTATGTTCCCTTAGAAACTAACTAAGTAAATGTATACTGTGAGATAAATGCATAGTTTGCATAACTAGGAATAAAATAAAATATACTCTAAAAATAAAAGTGTCTGATATAATGTGTTTCAGATAGGTTAGTGCTGTACCAGTCTTTCTTGATCTTAGCTAATTCTGTAAATATGCCTCCAAAGTTTCTGAGAAGCTTGGCGTTTCCACTGACTCATGCTTACATCAGACCATATTGCCTAAGACTCCTACCAAACTCTCTTACTAAATTTCACAACTATGCCTCCTACACACAGACCTGCCTACTACAACCATTTTTCTGAAAAAAAAGTAGGGGGATCACAAGGGTTTTACAACTTAATAAATGCTTTTCAGCTCATGTTGCAAGCTTGACCAAATAGAAACTTGTTTTATTTTTTCCACTGTGTGAGGGTAAAGGTTAGTGTATGTGTGTGTGTGTGTGTGTGTGTGTGTGCACTCAGAGAGAGACTGACATCAATTGAACAAAGTTGTCAGCTATTCTGGAGTAAGTGTTGAATGACACAGTTTCGATGGACAACTATTTGATGGATTTCTGTGAGTTTTGGTAAACACATTCATGGTCCCCAGAGGAGGAATTGTAATCCCTTTGATTCCCTGACTATTTTGGTTTATGACCAAATACCTGTAAAACTAATGATATTCCCATCGGTCCCTGCAGTACTTTGTGTTAAGTGCTAATTATTGAACATTAACACGCTAACCCGCTAAATTAACATGTGAACATGGATAACATTATACCTACTAAACAGTAACATGCGGTCATCATTGAGAGCATGTCTGAGCATTTACCTTACGGCAAGAAAAAAATATATGTTGTTCACAGTGCTCAACTGGTTTTTAAGACCTATGGTTATCCAAACCTGAGCCTGAAATTCAGCATTTCTCCGTGAGACTAAGACACTGTTTTGCTCGTTTTGTGAGCAGACGAGTCCACCGACTAACTCAACAAAAGAACAGCAATTACTTTTTGAAACACCAACAATACTGACCGTCCAAGCTCACACAACGGAAGCACTTGATGACATGGTATTTTTATTGGGAATAACAGACAGGAAAATACACCTGTTTTATGTCTATACTTTGATACAAAGACTATTCTCATTAGTTATTAAATCCATCCATATAATAACTGTTCTGCACTCTGTTAGCCCTCTTTCTGTGCATCCTGATGGGCAGTTCTCCATCGGCAGTCCTTCTGTACTTCTGTCATTCCCAGGCCATCAGTAGTTTGTGGAATGGTACAAAGGCACCACAGCCAGGCTTGCTGCAAAGGACAGAAACAGAAATAACAAAATATTGATAATGGCCATGTGAACAGTTAATTTAAAGGTCCTCTATACAATATTCAGAGCATTAATATAGAAGCAAACAACTATTTGCAATGTAAAGATATTGCAGGGTGATGAGCAGATAATGAAGTCACACATCCTCTGTGTGTGTTGTAGTCCGAGTTTCTCTGGGCTTTGTTGACATAGCATGAGAGCCGAGTAGAGGCAATAGATATGCTCTGAATTTCGAATTGAGCACTTTTAAAATAAAATCGTTCTTGAGTTAAAAAGGTAAATGTTGGACAGGCACATATAAGTGTTTTTAAAGATACTCATTTAATTTATCCATGTGTATGATACAATAGTTCATGTGTGTATTGTATTTGACTACCGGTTTTATGAAGAAAAGACTACATTTCAGCCCTGATTTCAAAATGTGTTGTTGCTGTAGGCAAATGAGTTTAGACGTAACATACCAAGTTCACGCCTCAGTAATTTTAGGCTGACAAGTGTCTCACTTAACAGGAGTTGCTCAAGTGTGTCTGGAGGCATTGTTTGGCTGTTGAATACCTATGGGTCACAGTGTGAGGCCTTCATACGGAGTGACTCTTACATGTGATTTTATGTATTTATCCCAGGCTTTTGAAATATTACTTTAATAAAAGATGATCTTGCCAGAACATTACAAGTTCTTTTAAATGAACTGTGTAAATCTGCAGTGTGATATATGAGTGACGCAGTGGTGAACACAATAAATCCCAGCGCAGCACTGAATGTCAGGGTTACACACCCTGAAGACGCATTGGAAGGCTTCATGTTGCTTGTGCACACACAGTAAGAAAATGAGATCAGTTACCATTCAAAGTAGCTGTGTCCCCCGTGGCTGCCATCATGCAATCCGTGCTCAGGTGTCTGCAGCTCCACCCCAAGGTGGAGATCTGCCTCCCCCTGCAGGTGACCCAGGAAACGAATCGTTCCTGTGCTGATCCGTCCAGATGGCAGCATGATCCTGACCCGGTGACCCAGCTCCAGGTCCATGGGGGAATGTGGTACAAACACCCGGTGAGGGCCTTTGGACGTCCTCCATGATCCCACACTGGAAGAAGAGAGGGTACAGTCAGTAATGCAACAAAGAGACATGATCAATTCTAAAGTACTTCAATAGACAACTTTAGAAACATCCGTGATATTGAATAATTTACAATTACTTTTCTTTCTTTACTACAAATACCTAACTTTTATTGTGAAATAAAATAATGTTTATTCAATCTGTGAACATCTGTAGTTTGAGATTTTGGGAAATACACTCATCCACTTTCTGTTGGAGAGTTAGCATCAGAAGTCTGATACCTCTCCAACAGAAAGACCATGTCTGGACAGCAAATATGATGCTATAGCAAGCCGCCGGTTAGCTTAGCTTAGCACAGAGACTGAAAACAGGGAAACAGCAAGCTTGGCTCTGTCCAAAGATAGAAATATCCAACTACCAGTAAAGCTCACTAATTTGCAATGAATATCCTCTGTTTAATCTGCACAAAAAAGGAGCCAAAACATTTTACAAGGGGTCATGTGGTTGACTATTAGAATTAGTCTTGTACACAACCCAAAAGGGCAAAAAAATGTAGTTTTGACGTTTTGGTTTTTGTCCATATTAAACACATCATTCATTTGGTGATGATTAGTGAGCTTTAAAGGTGTTTCCCAGTGCCCATGCAGTCTCTGTGCTCAATCAAGCTAAGAGGAGTTGTTGGAGCTTAATTTGTGCCGCACAAGAACAGTCTTCTCATCTAACTCTTTGTCAAACTACTGCTTTAATGGCTGCATGCCTGCACCTGGTGGCTGTGGAGGAGGAAGGTCTCGAGCTTAGTGCCAAGGATAAGGATAGCTGGCTGCCTGACAAACTGCTTGCACAAGTGTCATCTCTTGACGACACCTCTGACCCTCTGTGTTGGTACATCATTCTTGAGAGACCACCTGTTCATTAGAAACGAGCAGTTGACATTATTATTGAATTCAAAAGCATGAATATATAAAAACACTAAATGAGCCCAGTGTGTATTACTGTCATTTACTTGAACACTCCTCAAATGCTTCTCCATTGTCCACCCCTGACTCTCCATGCTCATCACAACCACCCACTGTCACCAACTCTCCAGCCTGAGAGGCCAGCTAAGGAACAGGAGACAAGTTATCATTACTGAAGTCCAGTGGTGGAAATGAATGAAGTACTTTTTACTCAATGTTTGTTCCAAAAGTTCTTAAATTTTGGATGCAAGAATGGAGTATTTTTCTACCATGTTATTGCTACTTAAGTCAATGATTGAATATGTCCTTGACCTCTTCCGAAGTCATAGGCACAACTTCAACCACACACACACATTCGCAAGCACACCTGATTAAGTAGCTCTTCCTGTTTTCTTTGCAGCTCCGCAAACCTCCTCTCCCATGATGCTCTCTCACAGGCGACCTTGGCTTTCAGTGACAGTATCTCCATTTCGGTTTTGGTTAGTCTTTTATGAAGGGCAGTTGCACGGTTGGGGCTGCCTGGTATGGCTGCAATGCCTTTACTTTCAGATCCTGACAAATGAAGTCAAATGTGGTCATCACATTGTATCTCTATCTGCAGATAGACTAGATACAACAATTCAACCCTGATAGATTTGATAGATATTTCATCATAACAATTCCTTTTGTGGGATACTGAAAGTCATCCTTACCCACAAATAGTTTCAGCTGTCGGCTTGTGTCCTCTATCATGTGACGTTCCCTTGGCAAGAATTTGATTGCATTGTATGGGCATATCTAAAAGGCAAATAAACATGGTTTATATCCACCATAAAAACCAGCCCTTATCAAAATGTGTTGATAATTAGATATCCAGATATGAATGACACATTTCACAGAGCAAACATTCACCCAAAGGAACCTGCAGGTGCACAGTATCCCCTTGAATGTCCATGTAAACGCTGTCCACAGGATATATTGTTGAAGCATGTTCACCTCACATTGTGATATTCTGACTGGGGAAAGAAGGACTGTTAATGTGAATTGACAGTGATGGAGTAAAGTAATTCATCTGAAATGTTACTGATCTCAACATTACCGTGTATTGATGATAGATTTACTGGACCGTTGTATAATGATTCCAAAGGATTAGCTGTAGGCTGCTAAAGAAAGACGGCTATGCCATCTGTAATTGGATACTGTCACGCTATCACCGACACCAACACACATCAAAACATGGATGGAAGCCTACTTGTTGGGAAATGAACAGACAGAGCTGGACACTGACCTTTGCCAGAAACTCAACTGTAGGATTGGAGGAAACAATCCCATGTGGGGTCATCAGGAGACGACAGTTCCCCTTCCTGCTCAATGGGTCTCTGTCCTAGTCCATGGTGAATGCTAATGTGGCGCACTGACCTGTTGCTATGCACCACGTCTGTGTGAACAGTGCTGCTGACGACTGCTGGGAAGGTAAATCTTGGTCTAATCCTCTTAGTCATGCAGTTACACAGTCCAGTTGCATCCAGGCTGCTTAATTTGGGCTTCTGAGCCTTATCTATAAACAATGTGAATAAGCCTCCACATGCAGTGCAAATGTTACCTCTGTTGGAGGAAGGAGGAGTCAGTGTCAGCATCCATCTGCTCCGTCTGTCTTTTGATTCAGTTGTAAGAGCTGAAGTGATAATAAACAAATGTTGGGAAAAAAACACTTGGTTTTCCATTTAATTTACAACATACTCTCAAATTAGAGCTGAAAGTTGGAAGTTTCACCTTGTTCTAACTTTCATTTCTTTGCAATTGTGTCAGAGCATGAACTACGTACGGCCTGCACACTAAACGACTGTTGGCCTTGCTGTCGTCTGTGTGGACACTGTTTTCTTTTCATGTTTCCAGGCAATGCAAATATTTCATCCATTGTGATATATTCCTCATGTTGTGGATTCTGACATCATTCATTTCCTGAAACAATGTTGGAGAGCTCTGATGAACTAAATAATTGGCATTGGGTTAAAAATGTTTTTCCAGACATTGTGTTCGTATATGACATTGCACAGACGCTTTATAATCATGTGGCCCTTGCCCAGTAAAATGAGGTAAGTGAGACTGAAACCCAGACCTTCTTTATACAAATCCAAAACATCATATGTCTCACTGTTAGGAACTCAACTGTGAAAAGGGGAAGCATTTTTTCCTTGTTGATTATCCTATTGATTATAATACAACAGTCTTTGGTTTCAAAGCAAAGCTGGGCATTCAAGTGAGATGTGAGCCTACAAAGCAATATCTACATGGTTAATCGTTGTGCGTGAATAGGCGTGTAAATTCAGCGCTAATATGGTCAGCTTGTGTTCAGGTGTGCTTGGTATTTCTGTTTCACTCAGAAAAGCAGAAAAACACTCTCTCATCTCGGGTCATGTCCTCATACACATGTATGCAAACAAACAACCAAACCTTAAAAACCACATCCCCAGCATCAGACAATAACAATGATAGCTGAGTTGTCAAAGCTACTGAAAGTCACTCGTTTGTCTGTGAGTTTGTGGCATTGTAGAGGACATTTTGGAATTATGCAAATGATAAGAATATTTACATGGATATACTGCTAAAAATTATGCCTTCTGTGATATCTAGGGAAGATAACCAAATGTGTCCTATCTGCTATAGCAGTCTGTGTAAATAAACAACTGCATGCATGTAAATATGTTCTCACGCATATTTGAGGATAAACAGTATGTGTAGTGGGTGAAAACAAATCTTCTCCTGGGACAATAAAGACGGTGTATCTATCCGCTAAAAGTTGGTAGAGTCAGGATTTCTAAAGTTTTGCTTGCATCCTTGTATGTAAAGAATAGGTTCACATCTATGTCTGTGTGTGTTGGTGGGGCTCCCTTCTTGGCATGCTCTTGCTTATGGCTAATTCACCTCACCTGTCCCCCACAGCTGCCTCCCATCAACTCCTCATTTCCACAGTATATCTACTCCTGTTCTCCATATGCGCATCATCTTGTCATTGATTCTGCTACAGTTGTAGTCTCGACCTCTAGGCCGATTGGAATTTTGTGTGCGCATTCTGGTTTAGTAGTTTCTAATTTGTTCTGACTTGCTCTAACCTTCTACTCTGTGCCGCAGGATTACCGTTTGTCTGCTGTCTCGCCACACTCCCATCCAGCCGCCTCCCCTTGCTCTGCCTCGTTTCTCTAGTCACTGTCCTCCCCAACAACCTGTGAAACTAACTGCTGGATTCTTCCCCACACATCCAATCTTCATTCCCTGCTTCCAGTTGATAAACCTTCCTCATCACCTCACCTACCTCTTGTCCTGGGTTTAGGTCCAACTAAGTACATCGTAACAATGTCTACATGTACATTGAAAAAGTTATTGGTAAATTATACAATTGCATACCCAACAGCAGTGTTTGCAATTGTGTTGGCACATAAACGCTAACCATTCCCACAGTTTCTAGTCCAGTGAAAAGATGACTATATTTCAGGAGAATTTATATTTTACCATTGGAGGCATGTTAGGTTATGAAAGGAGGACAGTAAGACAATATATCTGTTGATTTAGTCCCATCTCCAATGGAAAGATGAGGGGATCTCAATAACAGCTACTGATAACTCTTTCAATGTACATGTGAATATGTCCATATTTTAAGACAATTGAAAAATACAAACCTACCCTTTTAAATGTCACAGCCGTCATTTTTTCACCCCACTAGCAACAGTGATGATGCCCAGATGACAGACCCAGTCTTTTGGATGAACAGTCTTTACTTAATAAACAGCTCATATTCTGCCTTTAGAGCATTCCATAAATGTGAATAATATACAAGCCTATTTTACAAATACAATTCGAATCTAGACTTGATCTTACCACATAAAGAATTTTCTCTCAAACTGAATATCTTTCTAATGAGAAACACACGCCGGACAACATTTCATGTGTTTCATGAAGTTGCGATGAAAAAAAGGGAGGACTTCTGTCACCTGAATTGTGCAAGTGCCTTTTGTGTCGTGCCCAAGAATTCTACGTTCTTTCGGCCACAAAGAGGTGATTGTAGTCTGTGGAGGCTTTATGGCTGTCAGAGAGAGGGGGTCTGATTTCACATTGTGTCGGACAGAAACCAGCTCCCTATACAATCACCCCGCAGGGCACTGAAATCTCACCTGTACTCTTATAGACTCACAAAGGCTTAATCCACTGAGTTATTTTAGTAAATCTTTAAATATTGGTTGCACTAAGTTATCCTTTACCAAAGCAACCCAACAATGTGATGTATTGTAATGTCATATCTTCTTTTATGTTGAATTGGCATGCATGTGGTATCAAATGGTTGATAGCTGAAGGTAGAAACGGTAATTAAAAGTTATTTATTTACCTGTTGTGTGTATGTAGCACAACACAATGTAGCACAGTTTTACTAAGTGTGTGTTTTTTATTATTTATCACACTAAATTAGAGCATTTAGATTAAATATATAATTTGATCCCTCTTCGTTGACCAGATTCCAGGTCAAAACTCATAACCAGTCATAATGGGATAATTATAATAATAATAATAATAATAATAATACATGTTATTTATATAGCGCTTTAAAAGGCACTCAAAGACACTTTACATGGTAAAAACAGAAACAATAAAAGCATTTATAATAAGAACAAAATCTATGACATCATAACAGTAAGAAAGAAAGAAAAAACACGAAAAGAAAGAAAGAAAACATACATGACTGACTTTAGATGTCATTTATGAATCAAGCGCTTTCAGTTTTGACATATAATGCTGTAATTTAACCAGCACATTATGAAAAATTTCCAAAGTACCTTCACCAGGAATTATTACCGCATCAATTCTGATGCATCTTGAGACCCACCCAGCAACCATTAGTCTCCTCCTCTCACACTAGTATAGCTGTGCAGGTGAGAGTTTCCCCTTCTTATATTGCCACTCTAGTGCTGTCAGCAGGAAGCGAAAGGGGGGAGGTGACAGAGAGCAACAGAGAAAGGGAACACCAGAGAGAGAGAGCCCATTCACTTCAACCACAGCTGACAAAAAAAAATCTCTACAAAGTGCACCACAGGTGAGTGGACTTTAATAGAAACGCTACTGATTTTATATGATGATTTTTGTCGGTATGATTTAAATTCAGCTTAACAGGTAATCACGGGGTGATGCAGGTCAACAACAGTGGCACTATTGTAGCCAGTGATTGATACAGCAGGGGAATGCTGTGCTATCTGGGATGTTTTAAAGTTTCTGTTAAAAATGTTATTCTGCATATGCATTATCAGAATGTTATAAATGAGTCAATCACCAACTTGAGTCAATCCAAGAATTCCCTCTATTTTTTTATATAATTTGTATCTTATTTTCTGAAGATTACTTATAATTGTGTTCTTTTTCAGTCTCATAAACAATGTCCTTAAAATTATCCTATTTTAGCTGATTACAAATTTATTCACAAAACATTGTGAGGTTTTCTGTTGATAGCGTCTCCACCTTTCTGGAAACATACAGACACCATTCATTAACCTTCCCTTCATAAATAGTCTCTTATGAATATACACAGCAGGTGATGCTGTTGAGGATGATGTAAGTGATGCACATGATGTAAGTGTACATAGTGAGTTTATGTAACTCGACCAACAGGAAGATGCGATTCACAGCATGAGAATTTAGCACCTAAACACACCACTTGATGCACTCTACATATATAAAATTGAATATCATCTAAGAAAACTACTCTTCTCTTTTTCCAATTAAACTCTGCATTTTCACCTGGAAGCCAACATGGCCAATGTTGTCACTCAGTTTCTAGGGTGTAGAGCCCAAAGGACGCCTTGCTAGGGAGAGGGGAAAAAACAAGCCTTGCTGCTTAGCGGTTCTCCCAAGGGGACTGATGGAGGAACAAACACATTTTAATTGTGTTCACTGATAAACCACTGCAAACAGAGACACGGGATATAAGTGTGTGTCACCGCACAGAAATAATCTTGACCTCATGACGGGATGACCACCGACGAAAATTGCTTATTATGCTTTGAATTAAAATGTTGTGGCCGAAGATTTTGTTCTAGGTTTTACTTATGTGAGAAAAAAGTGCAGCTTTAAATCTCTTAAGAAATTAATGATGATGTATCTTAACTCAACCAAACAATTATGAGCTCAGTTTCACCACAACAACTAGAGGATCGTAAACAGAAGAGACCACAGATGACTTAGCGTTCACAAATCAAAAGAACATAAATTGTGCCCACAGCACCATCCACCATGAAGATCTTTTGTCCGCACCATAATTATGTTTTAGTCTGCGAGCAGAGAGTTGTCATTGTGTCTGTTTAAAACGTTGTGGAAATTATAGCAGAACATCTGTCAGCTGTTCCATTCATGTTAATTGTATGTTTTAGG